TAATTAAAAATGTTTAAAGGTACTTCCAAAAGAGTAATTCTTGAAATTTTATACTCGAAGACTTCTAACCTTTAGAAAGGATTGGTATTTTGATTGGGCGATTTCTCTTCCAGCTTAATCTCCAAGGATTTATGGCTTCTTTCAACCAGTGAATAATTTCAAGACTTTTTTCTTCAACCATTTTCAGGATAATCAACAATAGAGGAAACTTATTACTAAATTGAAATGGAACTTTTTTTAATCTTAAAGAGAAAAGAAACCAATCCAAGAGGGAAGGGGAGAACACTATAATACTTCTTAACAAAAGGGATACCTCATCACCTTGCTCTTTTTAATATATCTCATTGCATCATCAGGTTTTATGTTGTACAAGATAGGGCACATGGGATTTACGTGTCTTGTTTATATTTCTTGCTACGTGTAAATCAACCAGTCCAAAATTCGAGCCAATCATAATTCAAGAATTCCAGTGTAACCAAAAATTCAAGGTCAAACTGAGGTAGGCAAAATTCTCCAGAAAAATTAGAAAAAAAGTTTACATGCTTGAAAAGATAGAAGAGAAGCTTGAAGAAGATGAGAGAAGAGTTCCAGAAGCCTATACCAGTCTTTTTTAGAGTCTTGAATCTCTGAAAGAAAAGAGGAATGTACTTTTTTTACAGGTTTTTTTTTTTAACAAAGTTTTTTTGTCTTTAATTTTATAGGTAAATATTTCTTATATTTACTTGCAGAAATACAAGAAGTTTATATCAAAGAGAGAAAGAAACAAGTAGGAGAGACTATGCTTCTTGATATGTGTGTTGTAAATGAAAGTATATAGACTTTATTACAAAAAAATATAAAAATTTCCTTGGAACATTTGTTTTTTGTATTGGCAAGGGAATCAGCTTCTTTAACTAAAAATTATTCAATTTCTTTAAAAACTAATTATATTATTAATTTTATGTTATATAACTAGAAACATGTAAAAAACATATTTTTGTTTATTTTTTCTATAATTAATGAGATTAATTAATTTATAATCTTAATCAATCATTTTTAAGAAAATCTAATATAATTAAAAATTCAAAATCAAACTGAGATAGATAAAATTTCTTAGAAAAATTAAAAAAAAAAGAAACATATTTGAAAAAAAAGAAATAAAAAATTAAAAAAATAATATAAAGATTAAAGACATTTTTTTTTTGTTATTCTAGATTTTTGAACCTTTTAAAAATCTTTGGAAAGTATTTTTTCTTGTTAATTTTCATTCAAAAAAATGTTTTTGTCATAAATCTTTTGAATAGATATTTTGTATTTAGTTACAAAAATAAACAAAAAAGTGTTAAAAAAAACTCTCTCTTGATCGTATCTGTTTTGTTAAAAATTTTCCTTTTATGGTAATTTTAAGCAAGAAAAAATGTTTTACACTTTTTATTGCAAGTGAGCCTCAGCTCAAGAACTCAAGAACCTTCAAGGCAACTGGTGCAGTGAGATGGGACCTCTGGTCAAAGTCTATTCAAGTTTGGGAGTCTTGCTTATCCTTCGGTTGCATAAGGAAAGGCCTATGGTGGTTCTCTTTTTTTCAATTCTCTTGCATCTCTCTTTACCTTTATTATATCATAAAAACCATCTATATTATTATTATTATACTCACTAAATCATATACTTTTCAAAATATATACTCAAACAGAGTTAGTGAATCTACTGTTTGTTTCAAGTCAACCCTCATACACAATATTTTTGCAGTAATATTTGCTGCGCCACTTCAAAAGTTCAAAAATTTTTCAAACAAAAAACCGAAATCAGTTTACCCCCTCCAGATGATCAGCGCTCTCCAATCATCCAATCAGATTTCGTGTAAAAATCAAAACAAAAACCATGCTAGCTCAAACTGGTTTTGTGCCACAACAACAACTTCAACAACAAATAACATCACGTATATTCTACTATCTATAGTAACTGAAGAGCCGGAGAGATGGGATAACAAGCCTGTCCGGGGTTTTCTCGGGAAAATAATTGATTTTCTACTTATAGATCTTATAGTTTACTTGACGAAGTTTTAGTTTTAGTTACTTTTAATTTTTTCTTTTCAATTTCTTTTATTCAAAAAAAAAGATTTCATCAAACAACTTTTCAAGTAAGTAGGCATAGTCGCTACTCCCATATTTGATATTTTAATATTGCTTTTGAAATTTTTTACAATATTAGTTAAATATGGTACAAGTAGGCAAACTAGCATTTAACTTGTTGTATGCAATGCACCCAAGAGATGTTGTTTCTTTTACGATGTATACCTTGATATATACAAATTAAATAAAGAGATGATGTTTACCTACTGGGATAACCCCTTTTAATTTGATGTTTTATTTAAAAGTCTAGATATTATGGGTCCTTATACTAGTATTGATTTGTACAAAGCTTCAAAAATTATTGATAATTATAAAATAAATAAGAAAATAATAATTATAGGTACAAATAATATAAACCTAAATCTTTTTTACTTTGATAGTACTTCTTTTAATTTAGAAAGAGAAATTGAATGTGATTTCAGATATTCAAAATATTTTCTATCTTTTGCAATTCTATTTTAATCTAACATCACAATTTTTTATTAGCTTTGACATGTTTCTTATAATCACTAGTGATCTTTTCATAAATTGATCAAGGATTTTTTTCATTATATTCAAGTAATTGTCTACATAAAATATCTAATTCTTTCTTAACATTATAACAGATTTCTTTATCATGATTACATTTATAGATATCAGTATCTGAAGTTTGAATTTCTTGATCAATCATGTTATATTATATATACAGTATATTATAAATTTTCAAGTGAGCAATTTTCTTTTGGTTTTTTCAATTTCTTTTTTTATCTATCAACCTCATGTCTTAGAAAGGATTTAACTAGTGGATTTACTGCACAATACTCATTATTTGTCATTGGAATCTGCTTTCGAGAGTTCTGTTCAAGTCAAATAGCAAGAAAAAAGTGTAGCATGGGAAAAAGAGATAATATCAACAATCAGCAAGGGTAAAGCTAAGTGATTACCTCTAACAATAATAATTTTCCAATTAAAATTGCATATCTAGCAAGCGAGAAATGAAATCAGAATCACAAGATGTTTTTTTACTTATCCATATACATTCACACATACAGTATAAGTTAAACAATAATAATTGACATCATCCTTAGAAATACTAGATAAGCTTACCACTGTAAAAGATCAATATCTAAACAACGCAATTTAAAAGAGCAAAATAAACATAGTATAGATCAATAGGAACGAGATTAGGTAGAGATGATGGAATCACAAAATTAGGTGGCATCCCAGAATAAAGGCAATTCAGTTGAATGTTGACAACATTTTGCCCAATCTGTGGGTTGATTTGATTTCCTTGACGGTCAACTGTTCCAAATTCATACTAAATAAAAAATACTTGGTCATTTTTTCAGAGTTTATGCTAAATAAAAAGTAGGTAATAATGTAACATACCACCATAGGATTAGGTGCACCAGCAGCTGTTCGATTATTTATACAGTAATGCCAAGCCTATTAGGAATATAAACATCAGATAGTGCCAAAGCAATTGAGCAGGAATCGAGTCGTCTTGTCATTACTTACAGTCATTACTGACGGCCTTGTAGCTGGTGCGATAGGTTCCTCTATTTTAATCGCGATAGCATCATGAGCTCGACCATCTGAAAATGTAATTTTATTGTAAATTTCAGAAATTTAAAACAATTACATCCAAATTAACTAGTTAGTGATTCTTCATACATCACTCGTGTCGGATCCGCCTCTATTCACTCGAGGTTTTGTCATTGGTCGAAAGGATGCGTCCGCTTCTTTGACCGATCCTCGTGACTTTGTTGCTTTTATTCAGTTACACGTAGTTGGTAATGGAAAAATATATGAAATCAAGAATAACCAGAAAACATACTCGTTGCTCCAAGACCAAGAATGCCTGCATTAGTGCCCCGCAAACCATCGAATGTTCTATTAATTTCGTAGGAAATAGCAATGATACAACTCTCGTGAAATGCCAAGGGAAGCTCAACGACACGGACAGTTCCATTTTCCCATTCCCACCAGCCATGAACATTGTACTTATCCGTTTGTTCGACATAAGTATCACAAGGAATGCCAGTAACAAGTTCGTATGGTAAACTTGATAATAAATAACAGCCGACTTCAGAAATTGACTCATAAAATACAGTAGTTAGTTGTTGAAATAAATAGGAAAGAGACTTACGTTGCTTCCTCCCATTTGGCCTTCGGGTGCATATTACCAGTTTTCCACCAAAAAGAACGATACCTTTTTATTTCATCAGACTCCTCGATACTAGAAATAGTAGTAAAAGAGGTGGTGGCAGTCTCCTGGGTCATACTTCTTCATGGAATAATAGAATCCGTATCGGTATTCTTCCCGTACTCATTACTATATTATTATGGGACATACATGTAAAAAGGTCTCCTAACTTCGAGACTGTGACTGATCTGTCACGTGATCACTCATTTTACTCGAATTAAGTTTGTCTAGTACAAATTTGATGCTGTAAACGTCTTTATTCGTTATATACTAGATCTCCATCGAATCCACAGAAAAGAAAACCTATACGATTCGAAGATAAATAAATTTTTATTTCAATAGAGCTGACCCTGGTGACTATTTTTGTAGATTTAATTGTGATCGTTTTTACATGTATATTTCGTAAAATTAATTACATTGTCATGTATATATGATCGATAATTTTCTTGGCGAAATTGGTTTGCCAAAAATCACGTGTTTGTTTTTCAAACTTTTGAACATATTCGCATCTTGTATAAAATAAAGGGAATTCCGCAATCCACAATTAAAACATTGAGAGAATTAAATTCTGATCTTGTTAAAGTTGAAATCACGAAGTTAAACAAACTTTGAAACCAGATTTACGAAACTGGAATGCGATGATTCACTGATCAAGGAACAGAATTCGCAAGGCACGGATTTATTAATACAGTATTAGTACAGGATGCCTATTCTAAACACTGTACAAATTTATACTTTCCAACACCATAAAATCTAGCCTTCATCAATTCCTCCATCCACTCAACATTTTCGTACAACATGATCTTTTCGACTCTGCCAGATTTCTTCACATCTTCCCAATGCTTATACACATAATTTAGCGCCGCTTCTTTTAATTCACGATTCGCGGTTTGCCACGCCATCATTAACAATTCATCCCACGTGTTCTCGTTAATCATTTTAATCAAATGTATCGTTAAAAATTTAGCCAACTCATGGATGCTTCTTGTTTTCGCCTCGCAATATAATTTTTGCATTACCTCCAGAGACAATGATTTTTGCAGATTTCTAGTGTATAGGTAATAGATCAAAATCTCGAACAATTCGTAAGTTGTGTCGTTGATTGGAATTATGCAAGAATTTGACGGGTCTTTATGTTGCACAGCGAACATGTGTTCAAAATGTAACGATCTTGATGCAAGTATAATCCTTGAGGCTTTAAGCCGACGACCGCAGTTAAAGGTGAAAGTGACATCGCTAAAGGTCTCGTTGAGCAAATATTTCTCCAGTGACGGTGAAGATATGAGGTCATCACAAACACGGTTGCCGGATGGTTGAATATCGATAATATCGATAATGTCTTTCGGAATGTCGGTAAATTGCACGCGAATAACCAAATCCGTTTTACGAGTTTTATCATTGTCAGGAAAAATTTGGTCAAGCTTGCAGAATTTATCCAATCCCTTTTGCCTCAATATATCAAGCTTAAAATCATGCTTGATACATTTTTGTATGCATTCCAGCTTCTTCAACACGTACGACCCCCTGATTTCTACATCGTCAAGACGGAAGATGTCAAACTGATAACTCGAAGATCTTGATTTTGAGCTGCGTTGAGTTTCGAGTTTTGCTATTTCCGGAAGAAGATACAACGAAACGCACGTGTCTTCCAAAAAACCACGAGGATAGAGTCTTAACTTCCATTTGAAGTGATTATAAACGAATGTGCTGTGCTGATGAAATGGAGGAGATGAGGCCGGCGAAACAAATGTTTCGCTAAATATAGACTCACCCCCTTTCATTTTTGCGTAGAGTTCTTGAAAATCTCGAATGAGCCAGGAGTAGGTGAAGGGCAGGTTGCTTTCCGGAAAATCGGTAATTTTCGAAAAGTTGCAGCTGGAACCATTTTCAACCATTTTAGATAACAATGACGAACGAGCAGATTAATCCGATGTGCGAGAAGAGTAACCTCTTGGTAAATGTGTCAGGCAATTGATGTACTTCAATGGATGTGATTGCGTATTTTGACTGTGTGAGGAGTAATTTATCAACATCTTGAACGATGATCGAAAAGCAACGAAAAGAGTTTTAGAGTACAATAATCGAGTTAGTTTATTTTTTTAAGATTAATTAGAATGTCTAACATTGACGTTTATTTTGTGCGGTATTGAATCTACGTATTTTCCATAGCTTTTTTCATTAATAAAGTTTGAGTTTGAACAAGAAGAGTAAACACATGATTAATTCTCATACATAGTTATAACATTAAATTATATAAAGACATACTGTATATCGTACAGTAAATGATAGAGCTTAAAGAAAGTAAATTATCAATTTATTATGAGACCGATACAAAATGTATTCTTATAGTATTACTGTATTGTTCGTTGTTAATCATACAGTATTAAAATAGGACGACATTATTTGACTTATATCAATCATCTTTACGTTTAAAAACCACCACAGTGACAGTTTTTTCCTCGTTTCCCGCACATTTCCAGCACCCCATTCCACAGTTCGTACATTCATACATCGTGGAATCATAGTAAGAGGAATCTCTCGTATGTCTCGATGAGTTAATTTTGT